GCGCCTCCAGAAAAGGAGCGTGGGCCCTTGTGGCCCGGCCCAGGGCCCGCACCCTGCAGGGGCTTGTGCTGCACCTGACCTTTGGCGGGGCCGCCTGTCGCATGCTGAGGACCTGCCGCCCGAGTCGGAAAGCAGGTGGGGCATGAAACGTCCAAAGTGGTATTGGCACGGCCGCACTGCAGGCAATACCAGTACTCGGGAGGGGCGCTGCCTTTCTGGTGCACTGGCTGCTGGGGTGGAGGAAAAAAGTCAGTGGGCAGGCGCGTGGCATAAAGGGACGGGGAGGGAGGAGCAGCCATACGCTGCGTGGGGGAGGTAGCCATGCCGTGCTGCTGCAGCCCAGATGTCGGCGAGAGAGGCGTCGCGCGAGGCGGGGGCAAGGTCGTAGGAACAGCGCCTTGCTGCCGGAGGCCCTGGAAAGAGTGGTGGTGAGAGAGCATCATCGCGGCTTTGTGCACTCTTAAAAGTGTGCGAGCGTTTGCGCGCTGCTTGCGCGCTCTGCGATGGGGAGCGGGCTCGTCACGAGGCCGCTGGGGGTAGGAGGGAGGAGAGTAAGCAGGCGTCGCGCCTGGCGGATGGCGGCCCGTGCGGGCGTTGCGGCGGGGATCGGCGCGGAACCAGTTTGCAAACCGCTCGAGCCAAGCCTCAGTCCTGGGGAGTGAGGTGGGCCGCTTGGCCGAGCTGCAGCTGGCAGTCGCAACATACGAGCTGGACCGAGGCTTGGGATTCTGCTGCTCCTGGGGCCCTGTAGGCCTCGATGGGTGATTCGTACGTAGAGCTGTCGCGTGGCTTGGAGACGAGGCCGCGTGAAAAGTTCGAACTGGCTACGATCCCTGCGATCAGTTCGGTGGGGACGGGCTCATGCTCGTCATTTGTCCATGGGGGAGCCTATGGCCAGCGCGCCCGAGCTGCTGCCGCACTCTCACACCGGCAGTGCTAGATGTACTAGTTCACGCAGCGTGCCGGGAGACGCGGGGTGAGGCAGCTGGTGTGCCCATGTTGCGGATACGTGACTGCGCACGTCCGCTCGAGGCAGTGGTGGGCGAAGAGCTGCAGATGGACCATCGTTCACCGACGGGACCCGCCACAGCCATCGTAGCAACCCCAGGAACGATGAACAAGGAATGGAGGTTTTTCCTCCAGCCGTGGAATGTCCCGGAGGCGCGAGCCCGTGCTAAGCCCAAAGTGGTCTTTCTCTTACGCGGGTTGACCGCAGGACGACCTCCCGCCACGCCGAACCGCACCGCGCGGATGCAGACTCGGCCGCCTGCTGTGAACCATAGCGTTTCCCCTTACAGGGGGATTTTGGACGAAAAATAAAAAACAAGCAGAAGATAGCCAAAAGATGCCCCAAAATATCTATAAAATAGTCCCCAGACTATTTTTGGACTATTTTTGAATATTCCCTCTGAAGACGGACAGGCCCGACTTAACTATATGGCGACGCTGTGACTGACGTCAGGGAGAGCAGCCTGATACCAGCCTGGCCGTCTTTTGCCACGGAGTGCGCGGGCGTACCTCGTGATGTGTGGATGTCGCCCCCCCCTCCTTCCTCTCGGTGAAACGGAAGGCTCGAGTCAGCGGGAACTCGGGTTCGCCGACGTGCTCTCGACCAGCGCGTCCTGCGGCGGGAGCTCGCGCTCGAGCTTCAGACCGGGTCTCGCCCTCTTCCTTCTGGCCCAAATCAGGCCAACCCGAGCCCCCCGTTTCCCGAGTCCTGCGCCTCCCCGATCCTCCTCCACCTCCGTCTCTCCCCCCTGGGAGAGGTGCCGCCGAGGCAGGCGGCTCGAGGCGTGGCGCCCGCGCGCCCCGTGGCCGGACGGTGGCACGGGCCTCCCAGAGCGACGCCCGGTGCGGGAGCGCACGACGCTCGGCACCCGGAGAAGTCACCGCGCCATGGAATCCACACGTTTTCCACATTGCTGCTCCTCCTAAGGCGGGCATGTCCCTCTACAGGAGGAATCGTCTCACATAAAGAAAAATCGCCTGGGGACGATCTTTCTACCATTTTTTGATTATTTTCTAGCATTTTTTGCCTTTTTCTTATCTTTCGTCCAAAATCCGCCTGCAGGAGGACGTGTCCGACCTAATGCTCCTCTTTTCCCCTCTCCGCCTCGTCCTCGAAGGTTGAGAGTGTTGGAGCGGGTCCTCGACAATCTATGCTCCGTCCTCTTCCTATTGAGCTTCTTTCTCTTCCCCTTCCTCCTGTCTCCTCCTCCTCCATCGCCTCCTCCTGTTCCTTCTTCTCCTCATCCGCGTCCTGCTCTCTCTGTGCTTCCTCCGCTCGCTTCACCTCTTCCTGCTCCCTTCTCCTCTCTCACCCCTCCCTCCCCATAGTCCTCGTCCTCCTCCTCCTCCTCCTCTTTTTTCATGTCCCGCGATCCACCCCCATGGAATCTGAGTGTGCTGCAGTCCGTGTTGGGCACAGGCTTCCAGATCGATTCGACTCCATCCCGGTCGAGCGGGGGCGAGTCGAAGCTTAAAGCAATTGGGCAACAAGATGCCGAAGCGCTCCGGCGCCAGGTCGCGTCGAGTTAACACGTGGTGGCGCCAGGCGGCGTCGAGCTGCTGGCGCTGGTGGCGTCGGGCTGGCGCCGGCCTGCCTGGCGAGCAGGGTGCGGTCCGCAATGCGTGCGGACAGCTGTCTGCCCAGGACTGCTTGCCCAGAGCGTCGACACATCATCAGAGGAGGCCAATGGTAAAGATACCCCTGCTCGTCCGAGAGAGCCCCGTAGCCACGGCTGGATTCTCTCCGAAATTCTGGTCAGAGTGCACCATGCGAGAGGTCAGGGGAGCAGCGGTATCAGTGCACTTTTGCCGCATACACATCAGCTCCAGCTGGTGGAGGAGAGAATGAAGCACCCCCTCTGGGTGGCTGGAGTCGGAGAAGGCAGGCAACAAGCGAGTTGAGGGTTTCAGTCTTCCGCCGATGCTCTAAACGCTTCGCGCGTTCCAGCAGCCCGTCCAGCGACCAGCATCCCGTGATTATATTGGATGCAAGGCTTTCCAGGAATGGTCTGGTTTCGCCCAGCCGCGCATGGTCTGTCTCTGCATGGCAGTGCGTAGTGTCATTCGAACCGGCACGTTCTGGTATGTTTCAGGTGGTCTGGTCTGGCCGTGTCGGTCTTTGTTGTGTGATAACTTGACCTCGAGACCCGTCGACCGTGCAGGCGTGAGCAGGGACTGGAGTAGTTTCCTCCACTGATGTGTCTGTCCTCGTTCTCATCCCCTTTGTTCTCGTACGTTTCTCAACATGCTCATCCTTCTCTTCTCAGCTCCTCTCCTCCCTCTTGCCTCTACCCTCCTCGTCACTCGTGTCTCTTTTGTGCCACCCGTGCGTCCGCAGATGGCGAGCGCCAGAACTGCGAATACATGGGTTGCTTCTTATCAGCCCGTCAGGTCTTCTCTGACCTTTTCCATTGTCGCCAGGTCTGCCACGCCGAACGAAAGAGGCGTGGCGTTTTTCCTGAGGGCCTGCCGCGAGTCTTCGGTGGCCTCTCGTTCTTGACGCCCTGGCGCCCCAGCTCAGCTTCAGCCAGCTGCCCACCAGGCGGTAGGTTCTGATCCCGCGCTCGGCCGCTGTATAATTAGGCTCGCGCGTAGCCCGCCCGACCTTTTCGGATGCCTCCTGCGCTTCCGCTTGCGGCCGCGACAAAGTATCTCCATCAGTCCCCCTCCTTCGGCTACCTCCTAGTCCCGACCTGAGTTGCGGCGGTAGGCGTGCTTGTGCTAGGTAATTTAGGACCTCGCGCGGCCCGCTCGGACCTTGACTCGCCGTCGGCGCGCTCGCCTGCGGCTGGTAACAAAAGTATCTCCATCAGTTTCGCTCTTGCAGCCTCTGCCCTCGGCGCAGCCCAGCTTCCCCTGGCGGTAGGATTACAGTTGCCTGCGCGCGCGCTAGGTCAACTAGTTCTGCTCGTGGCCTGAGCCGACCTGTGACGCCGCCGGCGCCTTCGCCTGCGGTTGCGGCAAGGAAGTATCTCCATCAGCCCATCCCAAAGCGGACGCTGGGGGGGTTGCCTGGGTCAGGGCGGTTTCCACCATAAGAGCGCTTGCGCCGGAGGGCGATTATGCCCACATTCCAGCAATCCTCAGTCTCAAAACCATAGGGGAGGAGCGGCGGCGTCATCCAGAGAGACGTCAAGGATTGGTCCTCCTGCTCCCAGCTCCTCTCCAACTCCTCCTATTTCCTCTCCTCGCGCTCGCGCTTCGTTCCACCGCTCTTCCATTCGTTCCGCTATATTTCCCCCTTCCCCTTCATTCCCTTTCATCCCTGCTTTTCACGCGTTCCCTGCCACGTACTGCCAAGTCAATTCACGGCTTATTTCCCGTTAGTCACGATTTACTTTATGCTCCTTCGGAGCGGATGTCCAGCGGAACCGATGTCCAGGGCAGTGCGCACTGAAGCGCGCGCCAGGGTGCGCTAGTCCCGCCCTGTCGGAGACTGGTCGCCTCGGCTACTAGCACTCCTATTTCCTCTCCTCCCCCTCGTCCCCCTCCTCACTGCCCCGCATGTCCTTCCGCTGCTTCTCTTGCTTCTCCTCCTCCTCCTCGTCCTGCCCGTCCTGCCCGCCCCACTCCATCTCAAGCTCCTCCTGCTCCTTCTCCAGCTCTTTTTGGCTCCTCCTGCTCGTGCTCCTCGGGCCCCTCCTGCTGCTCCGCCTCCTCGCGCTGTACGGTCACAGCGCTGCAATTAGGAACAGTGCGGGTTCGAAAGGGGCTCGATGTTCCCTGGGCCTTTCCATGGCTGTTCGTCTAGCCCTCCTCGTGCACGCATGCGCCTGTGGGGCCCAGAAGGGGCGTCGTTCCTTACTTGCGTGAGCAGCCCATGCCAAGGAACACCCTGCTCGCCTCCAGGGTGCCCTGGGCTTTTTGGGCCTCGGTGGTTCTGCTGTGGACAGCGTGGCACTCCCACGCCAAAAGCCAGTGGACGCCCTGGGGTCTCGGGGTGGGCCTTCTCGGGGAAGGTCTCTTGTGGTCGGGTCCCTGCTGTGTCGCTGCTTCGTTCGGCCAGCCACTTCTGCAGCCACTTTTCCCAGAACATCGGGCGAGGTCCGCCGTCTGGCTGGCGGGAGCCCCTGGGCGTGCCGCCCCGCGCTCGCCAGGGCGGGGGGGGGCCCGGCATGCCGCTGCCGGGGTGGCCCGGCTGCTGCAGCTGCGGCCACGACGAGCACGAGGTCGACGCTGGCATCGGCTGCCGGGGAGAAAGCAAGCGTCGGCAGGCCAATCTCGCGAGTTGCCAGAGCTGGCGAGGAAAGGAAAAGGAGGAGGAGGAGGAGGAGTAGGAGGGAGGAGGAGGAGGAGGAGGAGGAGGAGGAGGAGGAGGAGGAGAGGAGAGAGGAGAGACGAGGATGCGGGGCGCTGTGTCTTCAAAACGAGGGCCCGACATCACGGGATGGTTGGGAAGCAGTTGTTTGTTGTCCAGCTTCGGTGTTCGAAGTTTTTTTTTGTTTCGTTTGTCCCCCCTTCCCCTCTCCCCCGAATTGCCAGACACTGCTGCACTGGGACTGGGGCTGCGCCAGAGGCCGTTGCCTAAGAACCGAGCCCGAGACAACCTCCCGGCGGACTCCTGGGGTCACCAGAGTCGCCCAGCCCGGGAGGTGAGGGCGGAGGGAGAGAGAGAGAAAGAGAGAGGGATAGAGAGAGAGAGAGAGGAACAGGGAAAGAGAGAGAGAGAGAGGGGAAGAGAGAGAGAGAGAGCGAAAGAGAGAGAGAGAGAAAAAAAAAAAAAAGATAGAGAGAGAGAGAGAGAGTGCGAAGTGGAGAGAGGGGAGGGAAGACGAAACCATCAATTCTTTACGCTCCGCGTATCCCCACCAGCCCATCTCAAAACAGCCACTCTTGCGAAGCATGCCGACAGTCGTGTTTTTCGGGCGTGTTTCCGCCTGCCCCCGCATATCTCCCCTGTTCCTCCTTCCTCCCGCCTCCTTGTACATCCTCCTTGTGGTGGGAGCGGGAGAAGGACGAGGCGGAGGAGGAGGGAGAGAAAGCGCTCCTCGTGGTTTGAGTCGTTTGGGGTTTCTCGTCCTGGTGTGAGTCGTTCGGGCCCTTCTTCCTGGTGTGAGTCGTTCGGGCTCTTCGTGGTGTGAGTCGTTCGGGCTCTTCGTCCTGGTGTGAGTCGTTCGGGCTTCTCGTGGTGTGAGTTGTTCGGGCCCCTCGTCCTGGTGTGAGTCGTTCGGGCCCCTCCTCCTGGTGTGACTCGTTCGGGCTCCTCGTGGTGTGAGTCGTTCGGGGCCCTCGTCGTGGTGTGAGTCGTTCGGGCTCCTCGTGGTGTGAGTCGTTCGGGCGCCTCGTCCTGGTCTGAGTCGTTGGGGCCCCTCCTTCTGGTGTGAGTCGTTCGGGCTCTTCGTGGTGTGAGTCGTTCGGGCCCCTCGTCCCTCGCTTGGCGGCCCCAGGGGCTCTAGGAGCGTCTTGGGTGCCCCTGTTCGGGCCTCTTGGGAGCCTCTTGGAGGCCGTTTGGGGCGTCTTGGGGGCCTCTTGGCGGCCCCAGGGGCTTCCAGGAGCCTCTTGGGTGCCTCGGGGGAGCCTCTTGGGGCCTCTTGGGGACCTCTTGGGGGCATCTTGGGCGCCTCTTGGAGGCCGCTTGGGGGCCTCCTGGGGGCCTCTTGGAGCCATCTTGGGGCCTCTTGGTGCCTCCTGGGCGCTTCTTGGTGCCATCGTGGAGAGGATGGATCAAAGAAGAGGGGAGCTTCAATGAGCGCTGCCCTCTCAGAAGGGCAAAATGAGCCCCAAACCTTCGGAAGATCAATGATTTTGCCCTGAAGGAAGAGGGAAGGTTTAATGAGCGGGGCCCCCTCAGAAGGCAAAAATGGGGCCGAAACCGTAGTAAAATCAATGATTCTGGCTTCAAAGAAGAGGAGAGGGTTTTTTCTCATCCCCCCCGTCGGGGGCAGAATCCTCGTGAGGGGTGTCGTTTTTTAGCCCTCCCAGGAGTCGAAATTGACCCCCCTGACGACCCGCGAAATGCCCTCTCCAGGCCCAGGGGGAGGGGGTAGGGGGAGGGGTAAACCTTTCCCCGAAGGGGAAGAAGGGGGGTTGAGAACAGAGAGAGCTCGCTAAACCACTCACGCCCAAAGGGCTGGTGGGATTTCGCAAGGGGGGGATTCGACCCCGAAACCAGTGGGGGTTAGTAGTTTGATTTAGTAGTTCTTAGTGGGGTCGCATTTGGAATTTAGGGGGCTTCAGTGGGGGCTAACTGGGCGCCCGTGCGACTTCTTGAAGTCCCCACTCCTGGCCACCTGAGCGAGGATGACCGCGCGCCGGGTATCGCGGGGCACGATGCGCCGAAGTCTGGCCCCTTCCTCGTTCTTGCCTTTGGGTCTCCTTGGGACCTCGTCACAATTGCTGGATTCCCTGCGACATGCTGGCCGGAGCGTTCGTGCCCCAGCAGAGCTGTGGGGAGCAGCCGGTCTGTAATTACGTGCCTTCGGTTTGCCTGTTTCCCCAGGCTGTGCAGAGAGAGGGAGAGAGAGAGAGAGAGAGAGAGTAAGAGAGAGAGAGAGAGAGAGACAGAGAGAGCGAGAGTGACAGAAAGAGTGAGAGGGAGAGGGAGAGAAAAAGAGAGAGAGAGAGGGAGAGAGAAAAAGGAAGAGGCAGAGAGAGAGAGAAGGGAAAAGAGAGAGAGAGAGAGAGCGCGAAGCTGAGAGAAGGGAGGGAAACGAAATCATCAATTTCGCATGGTTCGTGTTTTTGGTTTGTTTGCTCCCCAGGCTGGGGCCTGCAGGATGAGTACTCGCTGGACCTGGTCCCCGACGAGGTGCTGTACAGCTGCCACTCTCCTGGGTCCTCGTCGAAGCCCTCCGCGGTTGCCGCGCTGCCGCTGGCGCGGTTGAAGGAGGAGTTCGACGCCCGAGCAGGCCCCGACGGCAGGGTCGGCTCAAAGGAGCTCGCGGAGATTTGGCAGGCGTGCGCCGTCGACAGGCGCCAGGAGCTGGGCCAGGCCGAGAGAGCGGTGATTCGCCATGAAGGGAGCAGTCCTGAGGGAAACGGGGCCTCAGTTTTTTCGCCGTTTTCGGACTCTCGGGGCCCTCCACGGGCCCTAGGACCGTCAGAAAACGCCTCAGGATGAAGAGTTGTTCCTGGGGGCAGGCCCCAGGGTCCAGGACCCGTTGTCCTCAGGACCCGCTTCCTCCATGCCAAGGTGATTGCGATCGCCGCCGAGCATTACATGAGGCACATGAAACTGTCCAGAGACCTGCGGGTGGGGCACTGCGTCCTCGTGGCCTTCATGCTCGGCGCGCTCACCGCGCCCGCCCATCCCGGCGTGCCGTCGCTGCGGGAGGTCATCAAGAAGGTGGCGAAGCGCGACCCCGAGGAGACGCCTCCTCCCCCCTCCTCCTCCTCCTCCTCCTCCCGCTCCTCCTCCCTCCATCCTCCTCCTCTCCTCCTCCTTCCTCCTCCTCCTCCTCCTCCTCCCACTCCTCCCACTCCTCCCCCTCCTCCTCCTCCTCCTCCTTCTCCTCCTCCTTCTCCTCCTCCTCCTCCTCCTCCTCGAAGCTCGACCCCGAGGAGACGCTCACTCGCATAGTGTCCGAGTTTCTGGCAGTGGACAGGGCCTCCACGGGGGTGGTGAAGCTGTCGGACGTGGCCCGCAGCGTGCCCGACTTCGACTGCGCCGGCCTCGGCGGCGACATCACCCTGTGGGACTACGTGGTGCACTCCCTGCGGAGGTGGACGGCGTCGGTGGAGCTGATCGTGTACGACCTGTCCAAGGGCGTCGCCTCCGTGCTGGGCCGCACGGGGGCCTGCCGGGGCCCTCGGAGGCTCGAGGCCCTCTTCCACACCAGCATCCTCGTGCACGGCGCGGAGTACTGGTACGGCGAGTCCATCCGCCGGGCCGACGACCCGCCCGTGTCGGGGGCGTTCGGCCCGCCCCTGGACAGGTTCAGGGAGGGGAAAAACACACAGGCACAATCCATCGTCGATCCCCAAGAAAATGTGGGAAAATCTGGAAGCATTGGGCGGGAAGGCAAAGATCCAGAAAAGATGGGAAACTGTGGGGAATCTTTTTATTTGTGTGTGTTTGTTTGTGTGTCCTTGGGCCCTTGAAGGTTCGGGAGGGCGCTGCTGCAGCCGTCGGCGTACGTCCCCGGCCTGCGGGTGGTGCGGCTCGGTCGGACCTTCTCGAGCAAGACGGAGGTCGCTTACATGGCGTCCTCCATGGCTGGGCGGAGGTTCGCGAAAGGCAAGTACAACGCTTTCTCGAACAACTGCAACAGTTTCACGCACGAGCTGAGCCTTCTGCTGACCCGCAGGGGCATCCCGCGGGACGTGCGGATGCAGTCCGAGCTCCTCATGAGTTCGCCGACCGTCCGCATGGCGCTGCCCGCCATCAAGCTGCTGCTCGGCGAGCAGGGAAGCCAGATGGACATAGTCCAGGAGCCGCTCAAGCCCGCCGCGGAGGAGACCTCGAGGAAGTCCGAGGAAGAGGTCCTGGGCCTGCGGGGCCTGCTGTGCGGCTTCTGGAGCAAAGATGCCGGCATGTCCAGATACGGCGTCGTCGCGTCGGCTTGGGAGACGAGCTTCGACATCAGGTGGTTCGACCCAAGAACATGCACGTTTTCTTTGCAGGTGGGAGTGCCAAAGGGCTCGGTGCACTCGTGGTTCCCCGCTGACAGAGAGCAAGATAATCGTTGCACTGGGCTCCCTCCCAAGCCCCCTGCGGGCGATACCGATGGGTCCGAGATGGATATCATCGACGTGTGAATCTCCCTGTAGAGGGGGGTCCCGGGGGAGGATTTGCGGGGGAGGAGCAAAAGGAGGAGGAGGAGGAGGAGGAGGAGGAGGAGGAGGCTCCCTCCCAAGCCCCCTGCGGGCGATACCGATGGGTCCGAGATGGATATCATCGACGTGTGAATCTCCCTGTAGAGGGGGGTCCCGGGGGAGGATTTGCGGGGGAGGAGCAAGGAGGAGGAGGAGGAGGAGGAGGAGGAGGAGGAGGAGGAGGAGGAGGAGGAGGAGGAGGAGGAGGAAGAGGAGAGATGAGGAGGAGGAGGAAGAG